ATTTAGTATATGATAATATAGTACATTTAATCACTTACGTGAGTCTAAAGAACAAGGATCCTTGAGGGTAAATTATAGTCACCTCGGACGATGTTGTCGATTAAAATCCAACATGCTGAGATGTGTTTTTCTGTAATTTGATTTATTTTAGTTGTCGTCGAGCATATAACCTTATTTGAATTTTTAATAAATTGTATGAGATTTCATATTTTCATCGATCTGACTAGAACTGTATGAAGAACAATTCGGTATAGTTTATTGCCAGTCGAATTTCGTTTGAATTTGAAATCGACATTGACACGTTTTCTACAGCAAATAGCTAAAGAAAACCTTCTTCACTTACCGCTTATTAATTCGCGAGTAAAACTGCTATTAACATTAACAAATATATTAAAACATTGTCAGCTGTGAACAGATTAAAAAAGAAGGACTATTGTTATATAAAGAATAATATTTATTCTTGTACCGGGGACAATCTTCCCAACGGCACGATTGTCGCTTAATTGGCTTTCGTAATAGAATAACGTTTACAATGGAAATAGACGGCGAAAGCCTTGAAGAGCCCTGACAAGTTCCCCGTTTGTTATTCAGCTGGCGTACACAATAAGTGCGATACTTGTAGAAAAACAGTGCGGATTAAAGGCGAGGGTGCGACTTAATATCGGAGCTTTTCGGTTGCTTAACGCATTGGTATTCGCCGGTGGTGCTTCTCTAATGCCCTGCTTTTGTCTGAACAGGGTCGGGATGGGTAGGGTGGCCGATTTTCTTCGAGGAGAATGTAATGGCTAGACAGGATCAGCTTCCATGTCCTTCGTTTGGCCCTTTATTCTACGTGAAAGTCTCTCGACAGAGTCACAAAGAGACATGCTACAAAATAGGGGACGATCTATCTTATCTTTGGAAGATTTCTAAAGAAATACTAACGAAGGCATTATTCTCTTCGAGAAAATCGAATACAAAGTACGCTGCCTTATTATTCCAGTAATCAAAGTCGATAGTTTGTTGCAGTTATTTTTGTGTATAGGAACCGAGCTGAGGAACAAATTTCATGTACTAATGAGGAAATTTCTCGTGGTGAAAATACTTGTAACAATGTTGTTAATAACTGTTACTAGACGTAATGCTACGTAATTAATCACTAGATTGTAGATTCCTATGAACATTTTTATTTTAAAAATTAATATAATTTAATATAATTTTTATTTATAAATTTTATATTACTTTATAAAAATGAGATAAACATTTCATTAATGTTCGTTAACATACATACGTTGCAAAACGTGCACCGTTTGATAAGGCATCAAGAAAAACATTTGTAAAATTTCAATCCTAATAGCTTGATTGGGGAGGGTAGTTATGAGGTAAAATCGAAAAATCAGCTTTTTCTCTAGTTGATAGCGATTGAAAATTCTGAAAAGAATCTAAAGCATGCCAAGCACCCAAAAAAATACTCTACATTTCGTTCCTGATTATTAAATTGAAAATCCTGCTTGTGAAAAATCAAGAACCTCGAAAAGTTCGAAAAAATGCAGATTTCTCTCGAAAGTTGCAGAGCAACAATATTTACATTATTGTTCACGAAGTTCTTCAGACTTTTCAATTTGGTACGTCGCAGTAAAAAAACGTAATGATTTTCCCGACGTTTTCTCCCGCGAAAAACTAAGTTAACCTCAAAATTATGTAAATATATGAGGCACCGACGAGCCTCGAACATTTCGCGCAGCGTATTATTTAAATACTTATATCGCGGAGCTGTTATTGGCTTTGGAAGTTAAAGAACATCGATCCACTTCGTCCAAGTATTTAAAACGAACCTATCAAAAGTTATTTTACCTACGAAGACCCATTCGGCCGACTGACATGCACGCTGATTAAAAAACTTCGCGTAGCTCGCTCAGCTATTACGAAAGAGTCTACAATTTCCGGTCGACAGAATTTCCACAGCCTGCGGAGATTTGTTCCGTAAGATCAAGGTGGTGGTCTTTCGTTACAATTAAATGGAGGGTGTCCGCCGGTGGCCGGAACGAACGTGTATTCTTGAAGGGACAACGATCCCGCAATAAAACAAGCCCCGCGCTTTTGTACAAGTCCGTTTGCTCGGAGATATAGCACGTCTCTGCCACTCTTGTCCGAGCTCTCCACCTTTTTCCCTTCTTTTCCCAGCCGCGCCACGAGCTATACAACTCCCCCGTATTTATGAGGGATTTTCCGGCGTTGGGAACAGGGTGCGCACCACCAATTTCCACCGATCCGGCCAGCAACGGGCCGGACCGTCCCAATTTTTCTAGCCCATAGGTTTTAACGAGGAGCTTTCGCCGGAAATGATCGTTCTTTATTGATAACCAGAGCACTTCTAACAGCGTTTTTATTCGCCGGCCCCTTATTCCGACCGAGCCGGCTACCGAGTTTTTGTCGGTCCTTCAGTTACCCGCGAACGAAAGGGTGGCGCTCAGGATAAGGTGGAAGTTAACGAAGTTTCGTGTAATCCGCAATTACTGTTGTGATTTCTTGTTTAACCGTGCTTCCTGCCGGGCGCATCATTTCACTGATGAAATTTTATTTAAGCACGAGCAAAGATACTTTTATGGCGCGTCGCTGTTTTAACGCGCTCGGTTGTTTACGTTTGGCAGTAACTGGTCTCTTGATCTTCATGCGGTCGTGCATCTATGTGCATTTTAGGGTCGATAGTATCTTTGATGTACTGGATTTTGTAGCTGTTACGTCTGACCGTGCAGTATTAATAATCGGACTGCAGATTTTTCTGCGAATTCCAATTTTGACGGAACTAATTCGAGTTACCCTTTTTGGTACTCGAAATTAATTCTTTCACAGGTCATCCTCTTATGGAAACATTTTTATATAAATACAATTTCTAATGCACTAGGTTCTGTTTTAATCAATGTAAAAATACAAATTCAATGTTGGATAGAATTCGTTGACTTTAAATGGAAAACGAAAGTTCACTGTTTAATAGTAACTGTTTTTTTAAATATAATACTCATATGTACGTTACAGGGAATTGTTTGCAGCAATTTCATACCTCCGTATTTGTAATTATTTATTTTTATATCTAAAGGCAGTTGCAACATGCGCTTTTACTCTGAAGTGGAAGTTGCTCGTCAATTATCGAAGCGTTCCAACGAAGAATTATTAGCCCACGAATTTACGTATTCGAATCATTAATGAACAAAAGGAACACGTTATTAATTTTCACATCTATTCAATCGATCTGAATGCAGAGATTAAGCATTCATTAGCCGGAGGAGGTATAACGAACATATATCTACCGTAATAATTTAATAATCGTAAGAACTATAATTAGTATCCGTACCGCATTCCATGATAATTACGAAAGCAACGATGTATATTTCCCAGCGATCCCCCTTAAACAATGAAACGTTACAAAGCGTATGAATCGATTTCAATAACATTCATCATAAAACAGAATTCATTTCCATAAAGGTTCCGTCTGGAAACGACGCTTTTGCGTAATCTCTCGCGGTCGAACGGTGACAGCGTTCTCCAGCATTAAAGTCTAATTAAAAGCGAGTCTAAAAAACTGCCGTCCGTTACGCATTCCCCGTGCAGAAATGAAACGAGTCCTTTTACCCGGCCGAATCAATATCATTCGCCAGCATGCTAAGACTCCTTTTTAATCAACCCTTATATCAACAACCAAAAATGTCGACGTTATTCTATAACCAGGGTAACTGGGTAGCGATACGACGAGCTCCTATATCACGTTACTGTTTCGTACAATTTTTATATAATTGAATAAACATTCATCTTTATTTATTTCATCTTTATTGCCGCAATCGAATGTTATTTTTCTCCTCTGGAGAATTTCTACTCTATTCTCTTCTCTCACAGTGGTATCCGTTTATTAATATTAGATTAATATTAATATATATATTAATATTATTATAGATTAATATTAGATTATTATATTATTATAGATTAATATAGATTAATATATATTAATTATAGATTAATATTAATATAGATGTTAATATTAGAAAACAGCTGTTTTCTATTAGTTTGTAAAAGTAATAATAAGAGATTTATTCTGATTTATAACAAGTGTTATTGTAACATTTGCCGTAAGTAACATATCAATTGAATAAATAACTCGTAAATGTATCTTTACGATATGAATAATCGTTTGTTAAAAAATTAGTGACCCGTCATTTTGACGGATTCCAATTTTGGTACTTTTTAGATAACAAAATGATAGACGACGAAACAGATGTTGATAGAAAATATGCGAAACAACGACGATCTGGTCGGATATTGAAATATTCTACCGGAACCAAAAAATATTTTAAGTGTGCAAAATAGAGCCTCGTTATTGACTTAAGAGCCAACGGAGGGCTTGGATTATTGTTGCAAGCGTCGGGGAGAAATCGGGGTAGCAGAAATAATAGAATCGTGGTGCACCTGGTGTTCGACGGTTACAGTTGGCATTTGTTTCATTATTTTCCAGGTGCCGCAGCCGCATCCCGTGTCTACGTGGACGCATTGTCTCGATTAGCACGCCAGGCGCAACTGGGGACATGGGGTGGTTCCAAGGATGTCGGTAAGTTTCGCAATTTTCTTATTATCGCGCAGCTCCGGTAACTTCATCCCGCTGTTTCCGGTTGTTCCCATGCGACCCGCTCCGACCAAAGGGGAAAAACATCCCCGGAAACAGCAATAAAAAGAGAGAGAGAGAGAGAGAGAGAGAGAGAGAAGACGCGACGTCGGGCCCTGATACAGCAGCTCGTGACGTTCATTACAGGTGAATTAATTAAAATTTGTCACGCAACTATCGGCGGACAAACGCGAGTCGCTCGATCCTTAACCGACAGACGGGCGAGAGCGCGGGCGGTCGACCGAGCGGAGGTTAATTAATTAGCGCGACACGCGTCATTAGGAGGGCAAATAAATCGTCGGCGGGAAATTTTGTTTGCCGCGATCGCCGGCTTTCATTTGAATTTCAAGCAAAATTTTTCGTCCTGTTTGTCTCTCCTCTCTCTCTCTCTCTCTCTCTCTCTCTCTTTCTCTTTCTCTGTCTGTCTGTCTGTCTGTCTCTCTGTCGCACTGATTCTCCCTGCTCATCATCCAGGACCGAACAAGCCCGACTTTGTCTTCGTTCCGATGCGTCTCTTAATTACCAGATCGGCCGGGTCGTGCGGTAATTATTTCAATTACGGTCGCCCAGGTCCCGTTCATTGTAAATTAATAGAAAAACGGGAACAATTAGAATCGACCGGTCGCGATTGAAATGTCGTCTCGCTTTTTTAATTGCTCCGGGTAATTATTTCATACCGCTGCATGCGTGGGACCCGTTCCTTTGAGACCGAATTCGGGATTCGATTTGATTAATCCCTCTCATAGCCCGACGGTTTTCTATACGCGCTCCGATCATTTTCCACGAAATGTTCGACGGTCTGGGAGACTCTCCGGCCGGGTCTTAAATTGAAATGAAATTTTCAGAAATCGTTTTTCGAAGCTTTCGTGTTTCGTTTGATACTCATACCGTACGTTCCAATAATAATTTTTATATTTTTTTGCGGAGGAATATCAACAGTTTTTACGTATGTCTAGATCGTTTTCTTTTTACAAATTTTATTTTGTATTATTTCTATTTTCTTGAATATTTCCTGGTAATTACTTTTATTCTATAAAGACTTATAAGTAAATTCCGGATATCAGAACATGAAAATTGTGGGGCGTAGATATTAAATAAAAACATGTTTTCGTTTAACAATTTTAGTAAGTTGTAAAAATTGTTAAATAAATATCTAACAATTTAATAAGTTGTAACAATATTCTTAAGATATATATTATATATATATTCGCTGCAAAATTCTCTATTGTATTCACTTCTTTCATTCAGGCATAAAATCCGCAGTCTATCGATAAGTCAAAATGTGTTTCAGGAAGTATTTTTTAATAGTTTCCTAACAGTTGAAAGTGACGATTAATTGCAGTAATTTTATTAAAAACATGATACAGTCATTCGAAAGAATTTCAAAGTTACTAAATTATATCCACACAAGTATAAGTGTGTATTTACAAAAATTGAAGCATAAACGAGAGAACACTCTCAATTTCACTTTTCCTTCACTAAATTACAATTCACAATTGTCTAGAATTTTAGGTTTGCCGATCTCTGTGGTTCTCCGAGTGGGAACAGTTTCGCAACAAAATATCCAAATAAAATAGCAAGATACAAAAGAAACATCGAACAATTCAACTGATCGCCTATTCAAAATGCAACGAACAAAAGTCGCATTTCGACCAAGCAATTCCCCCAAAAAATCATCTTCCTCGCGTGATCCCTCCTTAATCAAGATTAATGGGCCAATAACTCTATTTACACGGCTTTCACCGAGATCGTGTTTGCCTGTCTGAAGTCTCCATAGAAAGAAAGTAAAAACTACCCCGTAGCAGGAGGAACCATTCCCGAAACTGAAGCTCCCCAACCGGTTCCTCAGGGTCGTCGTTAAATACCGAGCTTCGTCGTAACCGAGCTGCGATCTTCCTCGCGAGTTCTGAACCAATAGAGGACGGTATCCGCTGGAACTGTCCTCGCCCCTCAAAACAAATTAACGCTCGCCCGGCAGGCTAATTTCGAGCGTCTCCCATTTATTTTTTCCTCGCCAGCCTTCGGCAAAGTTTGATCTGTCGCGGCGAGGAGCGGGTGGACACAAGTGCACTCTCGTGGCTTCCAAAGCCAATAAAGTCTTAGCCGTTTAACCGTCTCCCCTTTCTCGGCTGTCTTACGCCGGGAACGGGGCTCGCGGGCCGGGTTCGGCCGGCCGGGAAAGGGGCGGAAAAAGTTGCTAACAGGATCATTGCAGCGTGATAAGTGTACGTATTAAGTCCGGGTCACTAACCTTCGAGCTTCCGTGGCTCGAAAATAAGAAACGAACACCGACCGAAGTCGGCAGTCTTAGGAAGCTGCCCAAGTGCGACGGAAGTTTTATTTGTTTTCCGAGCGGAACGGGAAATCCCATTCGATCCGGAACGAATTGCAAGCGGCCCGTGCTCGCTCGCTCGCTCTGCCGGCTTCGTATTTTCCTCCCCGCGAGGACTGGCCTCGCTTTGTAACCCTGGAATGTTTAGCACGGAGCTTCACCGTGTTTTCTGCCCCTTCTTTTTACCCCGCCTCGCTCCTTGAACTGTCTGTTACTCGGCCCGCTTCCACGAACGGATCAACGAAGCCACTGCACGCAGCTTTTTCTCCGAACGCACCTGGATTTTTAGTTGCTCGATTTCCTCCGGCTTCCCGGTCGATTCTGCTCTATGCTGCGTCGTAGGCTGCTGGCTCTATTATTCAGTCTCTATTCGGAACAATAGGCGAGACCTTGTAATCGCGAGCCTTTTTAGAGCGCGCAGCTATATACGTCGCGATGACTGTTTAATCGTCGAACTTACTTTAATACTCGTCGAACACGGAGCAAGCGTCGCTGATTAAATATTGGATCAAAAAGGCGGTTTTATTTTATGAAATTTACAGTAATTAAAATATTTACTTGTTCACTTAACATATACTACAAACATAGCAAACGGACAGAAGAAATCAAATACATGTTATGCGAAATGATAAGCTGTCCCAGCCAGTGCATACGGGAATGCACGAGTTTATCTCAAATTATTCATATTTTTTCTTTGCTTGTTTTATTCCGGCCTGGCCTCGAAATATTCTAAACATCTTGAAATTCGAGAATTGTTTTCACAAAAATTACTATTTAAATAGCCAGTGACAAAATCGTCGTGACATAAAATAGTGTCACTTCTCCATGACGAGTATACTCGTCAAACACAGCTAACTAGATAAAGATAATTTCGCAGATTTTTGCGAAATAATAGTCAGTTGTTCAACTCGGTATTCATCCACCAATTAAGAATAAAAGGTGATGTAGTCGACAAGATAGTGGAGCCAGTTACTGCGAAGTGACCAGTGACTTCGGTTTATTTTCGGGCACAATTAATTTTATGTTTATCGAATAATAAATTACCTTTTTTTATTCAAAAATAACCGTGACACAACCTTAACAAAATTCAACAAACAAAAAGCACAGCAATTAGTCGCTCCACGGTAACCGGCCCCGCTGTTCTAATCCACGATTGCGAGCTCGAGTTTTTTGCAAGCGATCCTAGAGAACTGTCCGTGTGTATAAAGGGTTAAATGCCGATGTCGGAAAGATACGGAGCATGAAACGGTTGCAGGTAGATCGCCGTTAACGTGAGCTAACAGATCCACAATTTATCCAGCTTATTCGAACAGGTAACCGGTTAAAACGACAAATAATAATACGGTAACCCTATTTCGAGGTAGCGCGCAGGGCAGGGGTTTAAATTGGAAGGTGCCCCGGGGCGTCTCGTATGTAGTTAACAGGGGTTATACCCAAGCCTCGGATATTCTACCCGACCACCGATTGCAGTTAACTTCGGGGACCATCCAGGCCACGGGATGATGCAATGTAGGCATGTTCGAGAACTCGTTTTGTATTATCTTTCAAAATAGCGTTGCATACCAGGGAATACTTCCGTGTAATTACTCTCCGCAGTCTAGCCGAACCTGGCCAACGATTCTCTTATTTATTTTGCTTGCACAGCCGAGGATTAGAACGCTTAATATTTAACCCTGCCGGCAAACCCTGCAGGTTGCTGTGGTCCCACGCAAATTTAGTTTCCCGTGGAACGGTACCTTCGATCTTTCCCGTTGTAAACGCTCTCTCGAAATACGGTAATTTCTCCCTAATTCGCGCTCAGATTGCGCATAAAAATGGACGATTTTTGGAGAGGAGATACGATTGTTCGAGCATCACGGCTCGTTTTTATAGTTACCGATTGTCAACGATTATAAAAACGAGCCGCAAGGCTCGAATAATCGTATCTTCTCTCCCCGAATCGTGCATTTCTGTGCGCAATCTGAGCGCGAATTAAGGAGAAATTATTGTAGATATTTGATTATTAGATTGTTGCATATGAAATGTCGGATTTTCTTTACATCTGAACGTTTGTCTCCCTGTTTTCGTTATGCTTTTGTTTTTGGCATAATCTCGCGTTTATAGTCGGTACTGTCCATTGCCAGAGTTACATTTCAACAAAGAAGATTTTCTTAAAAGTCTTAAATCTTATTTGTTTCGAATTTCGTTTTGTACTTTTCTTTATTTCAGGATAAACATCGATTATTAGTTCTGCCACGAAACCGTACAGGTGGCACTGTAAAGAAATTAACAAATTTATCCTATCTTTTAATAGACAGAAGATCGTAAATCGTCGGTTTTCGATAATTGTGTAGTTCAGCTTTAGAAGTGGATACCACTCGAAAGGCAGGTTACGTCAACGAGACCGAACTCCCCGGAAAATTGAGTGTCATCAGGAAAGTGTTACACTCGGGGGACACTCGGAGCTTCTTACAACAATCGATGGGCACCGGACCGGAATATCTTATTACCTCGACCCGGCCGTTTGGCAGTTTTCCAGTGTACGCCAATTTGCACTCGTTAAAGAGACGCCTCTGAAACTTTCCGCGCCGACGATGTTGACTAAATGTTCCACCTCTTAGCTGAACTCAATTTTCATTAC